CGAGCCGCGCTGGAGCCCCTGCTGCTGCAGCTTCCCGGCCCGGGGGTTACGAGCTGGCTCAGGCACGGCTACGTGAGCGCTTAGAAGAAGCACGCGGGAAAAGGCGACACACTGCGTTTATTGAAGATACAACAATTAGCATATGCATTCAATCACACACACACACACACACACACACACACTGTCCCGCCAGTCGATGTTATAGTTAACAGGCCAGATCAATCTAGTGGCCAGGGAAGAGCCGGGTTCTGTCGGTTGCGACATGATGCTCCAGGGAAGTCTTGACAGGACGAACCCAAAGTTCCATGGCAAGGCCCCCTGTTTATATAGTGATTTTCCTTCATTGGGACCAGGGCCGGCTCCAGGATTTTTGCCGCCCCAGCAGCCTAAAAAAAAAAAAAGCCGCGATCGCGTTCGGTGGGAGGTCCTTCGCTCCGTGCGGGAGCGAGGGACCGTCCGCCGAATTGCCGCCGAATAGCTGGACCTGCCGCCCCTCTCTGGAGTGGCCGCCCCAAGCACCTGCTTGCCGAGCTGGTGCCTGGAGCTGGCCCTGATTGGGACCAATGAATTTTGCACTGTCATTCTGTAATCGTTTGTTGTTGACGAGTGCTGGGTTTTTTTCAAATTGTCCTTCTCATCCTTTATCTTGTTCTTTCATCAGGTCTCTCAGGGAGGTACCCCAGGCTGGGTTTGATCACAGCTGACTTGTCCCCATTGATAGGTGCCGGTCTCATCTTTAGAGTCGTCAATCTGCCCTCCTCTGACATGTCAATAGGGGCGTGTTGCAGCCTCCTTGCGCCCTTTCATCTGTCTCCGGTTCCTCCCTAGAACATCTGGCTCAGCGATGGCCTTCACACTTATCTCTTAACACACATTCCTCATTCACACACAAAACAGAATTAATGTACACAGAATATTTTGAACAGGAACATCACATTGCAATTCAAGAGAAAACAATCATGGCACTCTTTTACTTATTTCAAAATGCTAAACCTACAACAAATTGGTGACCCTCAAAGGTCTGTCACTGCCTTGAAATCAGCATAGACACAGAATCTGGCTGATGTATCTTTACCCGTTAGGCCATTCCTTTCTGCTATTCAAAAAGGGTGGCTGGCAGGATATGATCAAATCATACACCAATACATTTAATACATGCTACATTATTATTCTTTATCCTTTGTTCTAAATTATATAAAATACAAACATAAAATCCTACTACGACAGATCTGCCGTGAGGCTATGTCTACACTGTGACCTGGGGGTGATTCCCCACTTGTGTAGACATACCTCATCGAGTTAGTGTGCTAAAAACAGCAGTGTAGCCATGGTAACATGGGCAGCCATGGCCCAGGCCAGCCCCCTGAGTACGTCCAGGGGTCCAGGCAGGTTCGTACAGGGTCTGCTGGCCCATGCCACCGCTCCCGCTGCCTAGGGTACTTCGGTTACATGGCTACTGGTAGTGCGTTACCTCACTGAGTGCTGGCACGAGGATATCTATGTGAGCTGGGAATCACCCCCTAGACACCACCTGCAGCGAGGTTCAGACACTGCCTGCTGGTGGGGGTCTGTGCTGGGGGGATCCCCCGTCACCTGCTAGACAAGGAAGAAACAGAGTCATGGGCCATACCTGTGGGGTGATTAATTAATGGCCTCCCAGCTGGAGAGGGCAGAGCTAGCTAGACCTATTAGGCACTTGGGCCTTGTAAGGAGCTGCGGGATCTCCGCTGAAGGGAGCAGACCCAGGAGAGAGGAGATAGGGAAAGGCTGGGGTGGGCAGACGGGGGAAAGCCCTGGGGATAGAACTGATCTCTGTGGTGGGCCCTGGGGAAGGGGACGATCCAGGGAGGCTGTCCAGACAGGGAACAGGGACTAGGAGAGCCCACAGGGAGCAGGGAAGGCTCCGGGGCGGGACCCTGAGCAGGGCCTACAGGAGCAGGGACCTGAAGAGGAGGCCCGGCGGGGTGGATGATCAGTGTGATGTACGGGGCATGTGGACTCTGAGTTGGAAAAGCCTGGGGAGCCAGCGGACTGGTAAGAGTAAGACAACATGTGGGTAGAGCCCAGAAGGACCTTTTGTTTAGGCTAATTTGGGACGGTTGTTCGAGATGGCGTTCATTCGGGGTTCTGGGCACCCCGGAAGGGGCTTGGACTTTAGGTGCCTGGCCGGAAGGCTGAGCCATGGAAGCCCTGACAGGAGGCAGATGGGCTGCAGAGGTACAAGGGTTGAGGACCCCTTGCAATGCCACCTCCAGGCACCCGGGGGCGCTATGACAGGAAACCCAAGTGATTACAGGTCAAGTTAGGCTTGCCACACGGAAGCATTTTACCCATGTAATTACACCACGATTGTTAAACCGACGCGCCTGTTATACCGGTATAACTCCCCGTGTGGACACTCTGATTCCGGACTAAGAGCGACTGTTTTCACTTAATCTTAAACCTCTTAAACAAAATAAACGGAACTGAAGAAAGGCGTGCCTGTCCAAATATGAGCGTCCGCGCGGGCGTTACAGCCATACAAACTAGAGCTGTTTGAATTCACACCTTAGTGTAGACCGCTGTCACTTTCCCATATAGACAAGTCTCCGGAAGGGAGCGTGTCACTCTCCACACTCTGGTCCTCCCTTTCTGTCATGCAGGGAAATACTTCATCATGTTGACATTTACATCATCATCTTTGGCCGCCTGAGTTATCACCGCATGAGCTGCATGGAGCTGTCCACACCTCAGAGCTGTTGTGTCAGGCTGCCTGCAGACTCAGGAAGCATTGCTGCACCGCTTTGCACTCTGGTCACGTTTGGAAGGTTTTCTTTGCAACCTGCAATTTTGGGTGTGCATTTAAAGTGGCATTTTGAACCTGAGATGAACACACAATGTGGACGGCAGCTGGCAGCTTCCCCTAACGGCTCAATAACTGGACAGCAGTTTTAACAACACCGTGTTATGTTTAAAAACCCCGTGATTTGTAAGTCAATCATGATTTTTGGGGGGCTGGGGTGGCTCCTGAGCCCGAAGGCTGGGGGCTGGCAGTGCTGTGGACACCTTGGCCCCAGTGAGGGAAACTGGAGCACAGCTCCTGGCAGCCTGTGGAGCGAGGTTGTGCAGAGACTCACACGCGCTCTGCAGCCTCTTGCCCAAAGGGCCTCTGAGCGCCTGCGCTGGACGTTCAGCCAGGATGCTGCGGCGGTGCCAGCGCCGGGCAGTCTCTGCAGCTGGGCGGGTTCTGACCGGGGTGAGAAATCCCCATGCCCCAGTCTCCCGGGCGTTTGTCGGTGCTGCCTGACGCAGCCTGACCCCTTTCTGACCTGGCCACTCAGGCAGGTCCAGATGTTCCCTCAGTTTCTGCCTCGGATGGGAAATTTCAGTAGCAAAGTGGGTGGGAGTCGGGGTAACAGGGACGCCTGGGGGCTCCCAGGTCAGAGCACCAGGGACAGTCGAGGCTGAACTGAGTCCAGGCCAATAGCTGGTGTTGCTGGGCAGAGGGACGGGCAGCGAGCAAAGGAGTATGAGGGGGGAGCCGTGTTAGTCTGTATCCACAAAAACAATGAGGAATCCATGGCACCTTAAAGACTAACAGATTTATTTGGCCATAAGCTTTCGTGGGTAAAAACCTCACTTTCTTCAGATGCATGGAGTGAAAGTTATAGAGATACTGGCACATGAAGAGAAGGGAGTTACCTTACCAGTGGAGAGCCAGTGCTGACAAGGCCAATTCAGTCCGGGTGGATGTGGTCCACTCCCAATAACTGATGAGGAGGTGTCAACACCAAGAGAGGGCAAATTGCTTTTATAGTGAACCAGCCACTCTCAGTCCCTATTCAAGCCCAAATTAATGGTGGTAAATTTGCAAATGAATTGTATCTCTGCAGTTTCTCTTTGAAGTCTGTTTTTGAAGTTTTTTTGTTGAATGATGGCTACTTCTAAATCTGTTATTGACTGTCCAGTGAGCAAAGGAGCGAGCCAGGGGGATGAACCTGCCAAGGGGCGTCCCAGGAAGGGCCCGGCTCGTGGGAGAGAATCCGGCACCTCCCAGGGAGTCCAGAGAGGGCAGGTGGGAATCACGTCTCAGCAACAGCTTCACCCAAGGGCCAAGAGCGATAAAAACACCAGAGACTCATTTGCCTCCCGCGCTAGAGCTTAACTGGGAAAGGAACTAAACTGCAGCGTGGGGGGCGAGGGCAGGGATTCTGGGGGTGTAACCGGAGAGCGAGGGGAGATGGAGACAGAGATGGGCACCTCTGCAGCCCAGCAAACAGCCCTGAGGCCGGGCGAGATGCTCTTGAGAGATTCAGGGGAGGGAGGGCCAGGAGCCCTGGGGCTGCAGAGTGGGGTCACGGTGCTGCTGGGGTCACAGGTCACAGGTCGCTCCTCACGGATTCTCCCACGTTCTGCCCGTTGATCCGGGTGAAAACGTTTGTGCCGACCCTGCGGGGAAGCGCAGAGCTGTGGTTACTGGCCGGGCAGGGGCCTGCGCCCGGGCCTGCCCCATACACTAGAGGGGGGAAGGAGGCAGGGGCCTAGCTTGCAAGGCCCCCCGGATGGACGCCCAAAGCGGGACGTCCCA